GGCTTTGGCCTACTCATTCTCCTCAGGGCGACGCCAGCTTTGGCCCAACAACCCTTAACGGGATTCAGCCTACTTATTCTCCTCAGGATGATGCTAACTGTGTCCTGATAACTCTTAACAGGCTTTGGCCTACTTACTCTCCTCAGGGTGACACTAACTTTGGCCCACTGACATGATCAGGCTTCGGCCTACTCATTTTCCTCAGGGTGATGCTAGCTTTGGACCAACGACTCTTAACAGGCTTTGGCCTACTCGTTCTCCTCAGGATGACACTAGCTTTGGCCCACTGACTCCTAACAGGCTTCGTACTCACTCTCCTCAGGATGACACTAGCTGTGGCCTAATAACTCTTAACAGGCTTTGGCCTACTTCCTCTCCTCAGGAGGACACTAGCTGTGGCCCACCTGCTCTAACAGGCTTCGGCCTAGTCGCTCTCCTCAGGGTGACGCTAGCTTTGCTCCACTGACTCTTATCAGGCTTCGGCCTACTCATTTTCCTCAGGGTGATGCTAGCTTTGGACCAACGACTCTTAACAGGCTTCGGCCTAGTTACTCTCCTCAGGACAACACTAGCTGTGTCCCACTGGCTCTATCAGGCTTTGGCCTACTCATTTTCCTCAGGGTGATGCTAGCTTTGGACCAACGACTCTTAACAGGCTTTGGCCTACTCGTTCTCCTCAGGATGACACTAGCTTTGGCCCACTGACTCCTAACAGGCTTCGACCTACTCACTCTCCTCAGGGTGATGCTAGCTTTGGCCCACTGACTCCTAACAGGCTTCGGCCTACTCACTCTCCTCAGGGTGATGCTAGCTTTGGCCCACTGGCTCTATCAGGCTTTGGCCTACTCATTCTCCTCAGAGCGATGCTAGCTTTGGCCCACTGACTCCTAACAGGCTTCGGCCTAGTTACTCTCCTCAGGACAACACTAGCTGTGTCCCACTGGCTCTAACAGGCTTTGGCCTACTCACTCTTTCAGTGCTTGGCTCACACTTTTGTAATCAGAAATACCCAATTAATTTTTAATATTTCTGACCTAATCCTGGGAGCCGCCTCAGCGCTTTTCGGCAGAGGAGGCGAAAGGCCTTGCGATGTCAGCCCTGAGTCAGGGTCCGAATGCATTGTTTTTAGAGAGTAAGGAGAGGGCTCACAGCAGCCATGCCCTGGCCACCATTTCTGAGGGCTCAAGGGTGGGGGGCGGGGCAAGCATGCCTGGGACCACCAAGGCCCCCCAGCCCCATCTCCTGTGGTGGAAGATCAGTGGGCCAAGAGGCCCGAGAGGTGGAAGGTTCCCGGTGGGAGTGATTCCCACAGAAGGGAAAGGCCCCTCAGGTCTCTTGACCCTCGGAGGAGGACCCCCATGGAGTCCTGGCAAGAGGTGCAGAGGCAAACGGGGAGCCCTCGGGCCAAGGAAACCCAGGGATTCGGGACAAGGAGAGCGGCTTCAGGGACAGCCAGGGCCCTTCTTCCACACGGCCCTATGTTTCCCATCATATCAAGGCACCTGGGAAGGAATCCCACGGGAGGATTGCAGCGCACCCAAATACCTGGGAGTCACTCTGGACCGTGCTCTGACCTATAAGAAGCACTGCCTGAACATCAAGCAAAAAGTGTGCTAGAAACAATATCATACGAAAGCTGACTGGCACAACCTGGGGATCACAACCAGACACAGTGAAGACATCTTCCCTTGCGCTTTGCTACTCATGCCCAGTGTGGAACACATCTCACCACGCTAAAACTGTAGATGTGGCTCTTAATGAGACATGCCGCATTATCACAGGGTGTCTGCACCCTACACCACTGGAGAAATTACACTGTTTAGCCGGTATTGCACCACCTGACATCCACCGGGAAGTAGCAGCCAATAGTGAAAGGACCAAGGCAGAGACATCTCCAGCTCATCCCCTCTTTGGGTATCAGCCAGCACGTCAACGACTTAAATCAAGAAATAGTTTTCTAAGATCTACAGAGACACTCGCTGGAACACCCCTGCAAGCGAGAGTCCAAAAGTGGCAGGCTCAAACCCAGAACCTCAACCAATGGCTGATACCAAATGAGAGACTCCCCCCTGGGCACACAGAAGACTGGGCGACTTGGAAGGCGCTGAACAGACTGCGCTCTGGCACCACGAGATGCAGAGCCAACCTTCAGAAATGGGGCCACAAAGTGGAGTCCATGACATGCAAGTGCGGAGAAGAGCCAACCAGAGACCACCTGTTGCAATGCACCCTGAGCCCTGCCACATGTGCCATGGAGGACCTCCTTGCGGCAACACCAGAGGCACTCCAAGGGGACAGAGACTGGTGAAAGGACATTTAATCCACTACCAAGCTTGCAAACTGTGTTTTTTTCTGTTTGTTTGTTTTGTTCTGTTAGAAATGTAATACAATGGTATGGTTGCTGATGACACAATAAATAAATCCCTATATATACATATTTCGCCTTTTGCCTCTCTGCGGGATCTAGAAATTCCCAGGAAGAGCATTTCAATCCAATCGGTGGGAAATCAAATCTGAAAAAGACAAACCCACAAAGGTGGAAGGACGGCTGTCCTTTAGGCTATTCTAAAGCAAGGAATCTTCTTTCAATGGGCCCTGCTCTACATTAGGATGAGCCATTTAGACCTAAACAGAGTGGCATGGGACCCTTGGCCGGAGGTGGGACTGCCCCTCCCCGCATTCCTGGGCAGGGTCCCTGCTGCTGGCCCAAGCGGGGCTGGGGGTTCCATTCCAGCCTGGGGGGGGGGGAGATGCATGGCATTCCTAAGGAGCCTCACGCCACAGAGGATGCCAGGGGGGGCCAGGCTGGTCTTCCTCTCCACTTCCTCGAAAGTCTCTGGGAAAAGTGAGTCTGCTTCTGCGGAAGGCTTCCCTTGCGACACTCTCACAGACACACCTCTCATGCACGCACGCAATTTATGGGAAGCGCAGCACACTTCCCCTCCATTGTTGGCTCCCAGGCGCCAGAGGGAAAGGCGGCCCCTGACACGCCCTGCGGAGGGGTCAGGCGGACGTCCAGCAAGCGGTCAGGCATCCATGGGGACAGGAGTGCCCTGACACCAGGCCTGTAGCGAGGGGTGGTTTTAGGGGTTCAACCCCCCCCCCAAATGTTTCAGATTTTTTAAAAAAAACCTGGTTTACTCATGAATTTTAACTGGTTAACCAAATCCCCATGCTAAGTCTATGAGATGCAAAAAAATTAAGAGTCCCTCCAGAACTGTAAGCACTATCTCAAGCAAATATTGACAATTTATTCACACTGTCATTACTTGCAGCAATAGCCGATGTAGTGAAGCAACCAAGTTGGGGGAAGGGTGGAGGTGGTTGACAAGGGCGGAGCTGCAGGCTATTGAAGGCTGCTCTGCCCCCTGCTGTGCTCTTTGCTTCAACGTGAGCTAGGAGGCAGGTTTCAACCCCCCCCCCAAATTTTCACCCCTCCCCGAAATTTTCACCCCACCCCCCCAAATTGTCAACCCTCCCCAAAATATTTTTCTGGCTACGGCCCTGCCTGACACCACCACCACCCCATCCCTTGAAGGAGGCACAAGGGGCCCTCAAAGGCACGGGTCCACTCTAATAATAATAATAATAATAATAATAATAATAATAATAATAATAATAATATTAATGTTAAGACAAGAGGAGGTGCTCTTGTCTTAACAAAAGGAAAAGGAAATGAAGGAGGCCCCCGAAAAGGTTCTGCTCTCTGTCCAGAAGGGCATTTTGGCCCCACTCCTGGCCCCAGGCTACAGATGATAATAATCTATATATATAAAAATGCTCTGTGCATAATGAGTTCCTTAAAAACAAAAGAACCAGTGAACAAAATCACACCAAATTTGGCAGCAAAACATCTCACAACTTAAGGAGTGACCATCACTCAAAAAATTATGATTTTTGTCATTTGGGAGTTGTAGTTGCTGGGATTTATAGTTCACCTACAGTAAAAGAGCATTCTAAACTCCATCAATGATGGAATTGAACCAAATTGGGCACACAATTCTCCCATGAGCAACAGAAAATACTGGAAGGGTTTGGTGGGCAGTGTCCTTGAGTTTGGGAGTTGTAGTTCACCTACATCCAGCGAGCACTGTGAACTCAAACAATGATGGATCTGGACCAAACTTGGCAAAAAAATTCCATACTCCCAAATATGAACACAGATGGAATTTGGGGGAAATAAACCTTGACATTTGGGAGTTGTAGTCACTGGGATTAACAGTTCACCTACAGTCAAAGAGCATTCTGAGCCCCACAAACGACAGAATCAGGGCAAACTTCCCACACAGATCCTTGATGACCAACAGAAAATACTTAAGGCCATCCAATCCAACTCCCTTCATCAGGGCAAGAAAACGTAACCAAAGCCCTCCTGACAAAGAGCCATCCAGCCATAGATATAGATAGATAGATAGATAGATAGATAGATAGATAGATAGATATGATTCACACACAGAGAGATAAAGTATCATAGATTTGAAAGGGACCCCTGAAGAAGGACAATTATATGTTGAATGTTCCAGTCTAGGCAAACCAGGCACTCTGCACATCAACACTTACAAAGAAACAACAAGAAATACTGTTTACCCACAAGCATAAGGGAATTACATATATTAGAAACCAACATTTTTTCATTACTTTATTTTCTAGATCAACAGACTGGGCCACAGCAACACGTGGCAGGGGACAGCTAGTAATATAATAATAATACACTTTATTTGTACTTTATTTGTACCCTGCCCCATCTCCCCGATGGGGACTCGGAGCGGCTTACATGGGGCCAAGCCCGAACAACAATTACAATCAAGAACGACCGACCAATAAAGAACGACCCACAGCTGGATCCCTCCAGTGCCCACACGAGGTCAAGGGGTTTGCCCTTTGAATCTCAGGGTTTCCAGGTGCAGCTGACCAGCCAGAGGCCCCAGGGCAAGAAGCCCACCTTGGCTGCCCCTTGTGTAAGGGGGACCTCCCGCATCCCCGTTGCCCCATTGACTCACCATCAAAGCCGCTCAGGGCCTGCAGGTTCTCCCCCAGCTTGGCCGTCACCGTCAGCGCCTGCTTGACCTTCAGGTTGGTCTCCCTGGAGACACAGGTCAAAGGCCACTTTTTATTTGGGGGATACAATGATTGCCCCATGAGCCTGCTCTGCGCCTGGGCAACTGACCCCTTCCCGGTCCTTGGGGTGCTGCCTTTGGGCCTGGGTTTGCAGAGCAAAGAGCTCCAACGGCTTCTTCGGCCAAAGGCCTTCCCTTTGCGAATGCCATGGATTCCCTGCGTCTCCTCTAAGCAGAAGCAAGAGGTGGACTTGGCCCTCGGGGACCCAAGGATTCTTCTCCAAGTGGCTCCCAGACTGGAAAATCCGGCAGGGCAGCTCAGACGAGGCCTGTTTAGCCACCCCGACCCCCTTCCGACCCCTTGCCCTTGACCTCCGGCCACTCACCCGTCCAGCTCCACAGTCTCAATGTAGGTCAGGCTATGCGGCTCACTGCTGGACAGGAGAAGCAGGTCGGCCTGGATGGAGGGAAGGTCCAGAAATGGAAAGGGTCTGAGCACCAACTCACAAAACAGACCCCCATCCCAGCTGCAGGAAGGGCCCCAGGTGAGCCTTCCTTTGGTCGAGAAGGCAGGAGAGGAAGGGTCTCCCGCTCTGGGGCCCCAGCTGGATCTCCAAAATGGCCCTCCTCCACTCTCACTCACAGTCACAAAGTTGTTGTTCTCCAGCTTGATGATGTCCCCGACTTCCACGTTCAGCCAGAGGTCCTCTTTCAAGCTGCAAGAATCACAGAGTTGGGGGGACTGCCTGCGGGGCCCGAAGGGCAGGAAGGGGCCGGTCAAAGGCCACAGTGAGGTGGGGGGGGGGGGCAAAGGCTACTTTCCCTTCAGCCTTCACCGGTTGGAAAGCCTACTTGGCACTCCATGTTTTGTTCTATTGCCTCTCTTGCATGTTTGGCGCACAGAATCCCAGAACCAGAGAGTTGGAAGAACCCCATTCTGCTCCATGCAGGGCCCCCATTAGAGTCTCCCCGACACCATCAGCAGAAGAAGAAGGGAGCTGTCCAGCTGCCCCTTGAAGATTTCCATGGAAGGAAGCTTGGCCACTTTGGTCTGGGCAATTGAGCCCACTGTTGGCCACTCCCACAGTCAAGAGGTCCCTTCTCATGTCCTCTCACTTCAAACCTGAGACCTGATGCTGTGCAAGAGGCAAGCCAATGCACTCGGTCTCCTGCAGCCCCTCAGTTTCAGATTCAGAGGGGAAGGGTGGGATATGCATGAGCTAGGAGCTCCATTGGCTGCCGTTCATCTTCCGCTCCCAATTCAAGGTGCAGGTGCTCACCTACAAAGCCCTAAACGATTTGGGACCCGCCTACCTGCGTGACCGCATCTCCGTATATGAACCCACACGTTCCCTTCGATCATCTGGAGAGGTCCTGCTCACGATCCCACCTGCGTCGCAAGCGCGTTTGGTGGGGATGAGGGACAGGGCCTTCTCCGTGGTGGCCCCCTGACTCTGGAACTCTCTCCCCAAGGACATCAGACAAGCCCCAGCGTTGGCAATCTTTAGGAAGAGCCTGAAGACCTGGCTGTTCCAGTGTGCCTTTCCAGAATAGGAAACTCCTGGCATCACGTCCCAAATGCAGACCAGGATTGTCTGCACATTGCACCTACCTCCAAAAAACCTCTACATACCTCCTGTCAAGTTCAGCACTTTTAAAGTTTGTCCATTACATTTGGCCCGGCCTTTTAGATTTTAAATGCATCATGTGTCATTGTTCTTAGTGTTTTATTGTCTTTGCTTGATGTTTTATTATTTGCTTATGAGTTTCACTGTTATATTTGTATGTGTTGTTTGTTGGCCATTGTAAGCCGCATCGAGTCCTTCGGGATATTTTGCGGGGTATAAATAAAGTTAATAATAATACATAATAATAATAGGAGGCACTAACCACTGAGTAGATCAGGCATGAGCAAACTTGCCTCCCCCCAGATGTTTTGGACTTCAATTCCCACAATTTCTAACAGCCGGGTAGCTTGTTGAGAATTATGGGAGTTCAAGTCCAAAACACCTGGAAGGCTAAAGTTTGTTCATGTTTAGAGTAGATGGAGGGTGATGTCAAAAATATAAAGAGAAGGCTCAGAGCAGGTGCTTCACCTGTGGAAATGACTGCAGTCTACATTACTTCGTTTGAGAATTTACCATGTGATTACAATTTGCTGCTCTTTTATTGATGCTTGCACTCTTCTCAGCCCACAGTACTGGGGAAAACCCCAGTGGTCATGCAATCCGCCCCCATTTAATTACAAATGTGCAGTTAAAATTTCAGCCAACGCGGAGTTGAACGGTCTTAGGAATCAAAGCTGTTGCTCAGCTTTCATTCTTTGGAGCTGCCCAAAGCCACCCTGGCCCCTTGCCTTTGGGGCAGCCCTTCTGATCACTAAAGGCAGCCGTTACGCAGTGCATTAATGTCCCCGTTTGGTGCCTTTGGTGGTCCAGAAGGACAGGTCATAGATAGTCAGGTGTGGAAGCGGAAATGAGCATAGCTTAGCATGATATATTGCTGGCACCACACAGTTATCACTGGACGATTCCCCTTCAGCTGCATCACAGACTCCTGGGCTGGCAGTAAAAGAAGTGATGCTTCAAGCTCCCTGCCAAAGAACTCCAGCAACCCGTAAACTATAGATCCCAGGGATCCAAAGAACAAAGGCCAGATGGCAACTGAAGTGGAATCACAGAGCGTAACTCTGTTGAGCCTGGAAACTGGGTTGCAGGCAGAGCACAGACAGAGAGGGGAAAATCAAGAGTTGGGGGACGCTCACCTGCCGTTGACCAACACTTTGACCGGCCGGTTGTTGACCTGCCTGTCGCTCTGGTGCCGATTCTGGAACAGACACACACAATGGGCTGAGAGGGTCACCAACGGGACGGAGCCCCTGGGCATCAGCTGGCCAGCTTCCCTCTGGATCACGGGGGTTACGCCTGAGGAGGGGGCTCAGCCCACAAAGGCTGCGTGGCAACCTTCTTCCTCTCACAACATTCCCTTGTGCAGTGATATTCCACACTGACACCAGAATCACACCGCTGTGGCTCTTTCTCATGGGGTCCTGGGACTTGAGGTTTTGCACCGAGTGTTCTCCGGCAGGGAGCCCCTGTGCCTCCCCAAGTGACAAATCCCAGGCTTGGCAGTCAACCGGAGGGTGACCCCTTCCAGGAAGGCACTCTTGACGTGCTCAGAGGCTGCACTCACCACGTCATCGATGGCGTCCTTTGCCGCGGAGACAGCCAGCACCAGGATCAGGGGGACCACGGTGGTGAACCAGGAGAGGGAGGAAATGGCCGGGATGAGCTGCAAGGAGGAGTGGAGAAGCATGGAATGGTAGATGTGGTCCAAAGCACCAGCCCCCCAGGCCTCCCAGTCAGTCGCCCTCAGAAGAAGCAAACGGAAGGAATGGGATGGGAGGGAAGGAGGGTCCCTTCCTCCTGGAGGGGCTAGAGTGAGGGGGAAATGCCCGCTCCTACCTGGAGGATGAGCAGGAAGAGGAAGTAGGCATTGGCCACTCGCTGGAATTGCTCAAACAGGTTGAGAGGCAGGAAGGTGAAGATGTTGTACTTGGAGGTCTTGATGGAGTTCTTCTGCAGAGGGACAGGAAGGCAGGCGGTCAGGCAGGGAGGGAGGCAGGGAGGGAGGGGCAGGCCCATTGCGCCCACTGGACGCCAGCGCCACCAGATCAGAATCCGTATAGAAATGCCTGCGCATGAAGCAGCCTTGGACAGAGGAAGTGAGGGTGCCTGCTGGGTATGCGTGTTGGGCTGGTGCTCTGAAGTAAACAAGGGACCGGTCCAAGGAGGGACCCCTCCCCACTTCCATAGGGGGTCTGCAACAGAGCTTGCCCTGCCCTGCCCCACTCCCTTTCCCCACTGGCTCCTGTCTGGTGCAAAGTTAGAGGGCAGGAGGCAATAAGAGAAACAAGCCGTGGAAGGAGGCCCAAGGCTGGCAACACAACCGTGGACAGTTCTGCCAGTGCTGGGAGTGGAAAGAACACCTGCAGCTTGCTTCTTGCACCCTCCGCAAGACAGGGCATCGTGAGGCATGCCAGGCATCCTCCTGCCCAAAGAGGCCCCAAGAGAGTCTTCTCCCACTCCTCCTCCTCTTCTTCCTCTCCTTTCTCCTCCTCCCTCCGCCTGGTTCCCTTGCACTGGCTTCCTCCAACTTGCCACTACTTGCACTATTAGCTCTTCCCTTCCTTTGCCCAAAAGACAGGGTCTGGCTTGTTTTGCACAGGCCCAGTTTTCCCTGCATGTCCCCCTATAACTTGGCACCTACGCAAAAGCCAGGGAAGGGTACATCAGGTGCCCTGCCTGCGATCCAGGTAAAACCCAGTCCAATCAGTGGGAAAGCTGGCCTAGACTCATCCTTCCTGGTTCATCCCAGGTCAGTCGTAGACTAGTGGAGAAACCTAAGTCCTTCGCCACACTAGAAATCCCAGGGTTGCATAAGAAGGAGCCCTGATGGCAGAAGGGTCAAAGCATCAAATAGCAAGGCCTCAGTATCTCCCCTGGCTCTGAAAGGGTCTTTGAGTGAAATTTGCAAATGCTAAGCAAGGGGCTTTGAATGAAATTAATAGCAAAAGAGAAATATACCCTTTCTCTGTAGAAAAGGAACAACACGGTGATAATGTTTTTAAGAAACAAGATGTGAAATGTAGAGGTCATACAAAGTTCAAGCCTACATAGGAAGTAGTTGTGTTGTGGTTAAGTTCAAAGGTTGTGGTTAAGCGCAGAGTCTGCAGGTACAAGAAGGTACTTTCCATCAAAAGGTCAAGGGAGAGGGGCTGGAAAGAGAGTACTTTCCATGACCTATTACTTGAGTATAAAGTCAGCAGAAAAAGAGGAGGGGCACGGCAGTCACTTGAAGGGTAGCATCTGCGTATGCTGCCAGGCTGTCTGTCTTCTTCATGAAGAAACTAAAATAAACCTTGTTTTTTTATCTTTTTTTGGGACTGTCTCCTTCCTTACGTGTTCCCATGATGTGGACCTAAGAAGACCCAATTTAGGGTCTCTAACAGCTCCATTGTGTCCTGGTCTCCACCGCAGCAGAAAACAGGCTCCCACCCCCCATATGTTTCAAATGTTTCAGCCTGGCTCTCATGTCCCCTTCTTCTCTCCACCTTCTCTTCTCCAAGGAAAACATCCTCAGCTGCCTCTGCCACTTCCCATAGGGCTCAGTTTCCAAAACTTTGGCCATTTTGGTGGCCCTACTCTGGACACCTCCCAGCCGGTCAATATCCTTCTTGAAGTGCTTTGCCTAGAACTGGACACAGGGCTCTTATTCCGGGGGGGGGGAGGTCTGGCCAGAGCAGAACAGATCTGGACACCAGGCTCCTATCGATGCAGCCGAACATCACATTGGCCTTTTGAGTTGCCACCTCACACTGTGGACTCAAGTTCAGCTTGTGGTCAACTAAGACTGTTAGGCCCCTTTCCCAAGCCAGGTGTCCTCCATCCTATACCTATGGATTTCATTTTGATTGCCACCGTGTTTATGTTCCTTTTGTGAGTCTTGGCCAATGGGCTCTCTAATCTGTGAAGGTCATTGTGCTTCCTGGTCCTCAACCTTGGCCAGAGTCCCTTTGCAGGGGAAGCCCCTTCCATGGACCTCAACCACTGCAGGAAGAGCATGGATAGGTGAACGCCAGCTTCCCATTTGAGCCACAAGGCCAGTCAACCGGGGTCAACCATGTAAATGCAGTTGGGGGGAACACACTACATGAAAGGAAAATTCCTGGGCTCTCCTTCCATGGAGGTCTTCCAATTGAGGTAATTGTCCACCTCTCAGAGGAATGAATGCCTGTGCTGGCATCGGCCAGGTGGACTAGATGGACCCCGGGGTCCTTTCATGGCTGGGGGTTGGACTAGATGACCTGACAAGCCCATTTAATGAGAGGAAGAGCTCCCTCTCTCCGGTCCTCTCTTCTCCCAGTTTTGGGTCTGGAACCGTGGGAAGAGAGTGGGTGGGGAGGCTGGAGAGGAATCCAGGCACACAAATCAACACCGCAGACAAGCAAACAAACGGGGGCTCTCCTGGGGTGGACATGGCCCAGCTGGACTCTGCGGCTTCCCTTGGGCCGCTCACCAGGCGCAGGGCCATGTCTGGGCTCCTGGCCGGCCAAGTGACTCACAGCTGGACGGTCTCCCTTCCTGGCCTTTGAGGGGGAGGAGCTCCTCGTGGCTCTGAGGGGGGGGGGCAGCCTTCCCACAAGCAGAGGGGCTGCAGCTGTTTCTGCAACGCTCCACGCTTGCCCTCCAGCTTTGGGGCCTGGGGACTGGCTTTGTGGATTTAAAGGTCTATGTTTGGTTCAAATGATTTTGGATGCTTATTTTCATATGTTTTCTGAACTGCTTTTAATAGTTCACTGCTGTAGGATGGTCCACAACTGGGCACCTTCTGACGAGGGGCCCATCGTCCCGACTCCATCTGGAGCCCCAAAAACCTCCCAGGTGGTGGCCAGTTAAGGCCAGTGTCCAGAGCAGATGCGGGTCAGTGTTATGCCTTGCCTGGGAGGGAACAGGGTGGCCTTAATGTCCAATATCCCGCAATAAATAGATGAGTTCCAAGTGTGTCCACTTCAGTATGGCTGGAAACACCTGGAGGGCGAACCACAAGACGGGGCTACTTACTTACCGCATAGTCAAACTGGTGGTTGAAGGCTCGGTCATTCGCTCGGAGGTGCCTCTCTTCCTCTGCGGAGGAAAAAAAGTGAGTCAGAGAGCGTCACGGACCCAGAGCAGTGTCTACGGGGACCCCTCCATCTTGGCAGAGACCCCGGTCAGAGGACAAGGGTCAGCAGCAAGAAGAAGGGAGGCTGGCAATGAAGCTGGTCTGATGGGAGAAGCCAACCAAGGGGCCACTGCTGCACCAGCAAAGGAGGACATACCTCTGCCCAGGGGTTTGCAGGGGTATCTGTGAACTTGGGCAGGAGGGAGCAAAGAGCTCAGACATGTCCAACTGAGGGAAGAGAAGAAACCCTCAACCTCCATCCCAGATTATCTCTGGCTGGCTTCATCAAAACCGGGGGATCATTTCCCACTTCTTATGTTATTGCATGGGGGTCCCAAACCCAATCCAGCCCAGCTTGCTTCTCTTCATCCAGGTCTGCCATCAACCTCCTCCGTACAGTCGTGTTGCCCAATTGGTGGCCACTTACCCACCCGTGCTCCTTTGCCCACTCACAACCCTGAAGGACGGGCAAGGCAAGGCAAGGCCAACTGATCCCCCCCTCCAGTTAGAGGGGCCCAGAGCAGGTCAGTGGTGCAACGTGACTCCAGGCAACGTGACTCCAATGGGATGGTCATGCACTACAACCCCATTGAGAAAGGACACAGCTCGCATATTTCTCACCTTCCCCGAATAAACCGATTTCCCTTGCTTGAAAGCCACATCTGGATTCCAGATATGTTTCGCAGAGCAAAAGAAAGCGAGGCCAAATTATCTGCCAACTCTGCCTCAAAGCGTTCCTGTGGGAAGAAGCCTTCTTCTGCCGTGGGAGAGGGCAAAGGGGAGTCTGGGCAAGAAGAGCGTTGCAGCCATGAGCAGATCCCCCCCCCCCCCACTGACCCATGCCAGGCTCTCTTCCACAAACTCCTTTCTCTCTTTGGAAGTGCTGAGTGACTCTCTGTTGGGGTGCTTTGAATGTGATTGTCCTGCTTCTTGGCAGAATGGGGTTGGACTGGATGGCCCACCAGGTTTCTTCCAACTCTAGGATTCTAGGATTCACACCAGAATGCAGTGGTGTCTCCTTCCAATGGAGGTTTAGAAACAGAAGCTGGGATTGAATGGTGTCTTCCTGGCTGGTAGAAGAGAGTCACCCTGGATGTCCCCTTCCAACTCTGTGATTCTACGCTGGACAGCGACGGCACCTGGACCTCACCTTCTGCCCCGGATGGGCGTTTGTCTGGTGGAGAGCCAGAGGTCCCCTGCTTTCCTTCAGCGGAGCCGAGGAAGCCTCTCCAGTGGGAATGCTCCAAGGCTTGCAAACCAGGGCTGGGCCATTGTGTGGAGCGGGAACGGGGACAGCGCCAGAAATGCAACGCGGAAAAGGGAAGGGGCGACTACGGCAGGCAGATTTAGAACATGGAACAGCTCAGGAATGCTCTGGCACCCCTTTGGGAGATGAATCTTGACCAGGATGAGCGTTGAGGTTGGGATTAACACATGCAGGGCTTTGGTAAAAGTACACATCCCCGGGCCCCGCAGACCACAGCCAAGGGAGTGGTAAGAGCTGTATCTCCGCCGAGGAGGGGCGCATGGAAAATGCTCTTCCCTCCCTTGCGTTCTTTCTCTCTCTCTCTCCCGGCCGGGGCCTCAACTGCTGGCGGAAAACAGCTGCCCTTTTTATGGTTTTGTTCCTGGCAATCCTGCCCCTGGCTTCACATTTTCCAGTCTATTATTTCATCCCCAGACTCCTTGCATGGACTTTTAGGCTGAAAAACAGGGCAGGGAGCGTTGCGGAAACTTGGAGGAAGGGCCGCTGACCATTTTGGGGTTTTAGGAGGGAGGGCGCATCTCTCCAAGGAATC